ATCTTTTTTTCAATAGTTTTTGTTCAGCATATTTATCTTACAAGAAACATCTTTCCACTTCATGGTGCTTATTAGAACATGCAGTTGCTATGAATCATGGGGATGAATATTATCTTTTGCTGTGAGTATTTTGGCTTGATCTTCATGAGCTTTTAATGAACTGCTGGAAGAAGGGCTTCACAGTCTTTTTCCACCAAAAGCTGTAATTTGCTGTGTTCATCCTTTGTTTTTGCAAACTTGTCTTTATCTTGCCGCTTGACAGAAATTCTTGGTAACGTTTGGTCTCTTGAGATCAACTCTCATATTTCATTCATCTTTTGTTTTGCAGCCAATAGTCATTTAGTTATAATGTTATAGGCTATGCAGTACAGAATATGTTATATTGACACATAAAGGCATGTTGGAAATTATTATTTTTATTCCACAAAATCCCTTTTCAAATTCCTGCACTTCTACCACCATTTCATATGGTTATGGGTGCCGTTGTAATACAGTTATTCTGGCTGGTCCCTTAGCCACTCTGCACTGCCACTTGAACCTCATTTTCCAGTAAAAGATGCCAGCAATAAAAAGTGCCATACAAGAAAAGATGACGCGGCATCTCTGATCTTTTGAGCTAGTAAAAGCCATTAGATTTTCATCATTGAAGGCAGGTTTTTGGAACGGCAGCTCTTAGTAAGCTCTATTAATGAATAAACATAAATATAAAAAGCACCCTGCATCATTTAACTGATTAAAAAATCCCAGCTGAGTTGGAAAATCACAGGTTTTGCGAGATAGTAAGTACGCGCTATGATAGAAGAGTCATAGAAGAGTTGAATGGGGTTTGTTGGATGACATAAAATCTGGCATCCATGATTTGTTTATACTGTTACAATTTGATTATGTAAAATACTTTGTAAGTTGCCTGTTTTTGTCATATTTTCCTGTGTAATTAAAGCTTATAGATTCAAACAAATTCCTACTGCAATTTCTGAGGCACAGAGACATTTATTATTCTCTTTTCCAGCTGGAAAAGCAGTAGAACTGCTTTCTGTTAGACATGAAATAATTTTCTTTTAGAAAGATACAGAACTACTACAGTGTATGGTATGTTATGCTTTATTATAATAGTAAGTTAACAAATGTATAGGGTTCATATAAGTTATACTGTAAGTTGAACCTGAAATAGATTTTAAATGACTAGACCATGCAATTTATTCTTTTCTTGTAATTGTTTAGTCAAATTAACATGTAGGTACTGTAATCTTTATTTTGACAGTAATTGAACTTTGGCACTGGTAAGAGGTCAGAGGTCAACCATATTGCCTAGTTTCATTTGTGACTGTTTCAAGAACAGTTCTAAAGTGTCTTGTGACAAAACTATAATATAGAGAGCGTTTGTCAGTAAAGTGTGGTTATGAGAAGATAATCATTAAAGTTATCCAGTAAGGTAAGTAGCATATTTTTTAGGGCATCAGGGTATTTCAAAGGCCTACTGGGGACAGTGTCCTAATACTGCAAGTGTTAATACTAACGCCTCCTTTTACCATAAAGTTTTTCCTTTGCTGTTTGTTGGCTGCCCAGTTTATGTTCAGAACCATACAAAATATCCTAAGCTTATAGAAAGCTGTTTATTGAGTGATTCCTGGGAAACTGTTTCCACCCCCTTGACCCCCTAAAACACTATTTTCCCCTCTTAATGTACATGGTTGGAAATGCTTCATGTACTCCTTGAGTCAAAAATAGTTTTTAGGCAGAGAGAGAGAGTCGTTTGGAGGTGGGGGCTAAAATGCCGCGTGCTGCATCCTGAGATAAACATCACTAGTGAAAACAATATAACAAGCTGAATTTGTGTGCTCTAGACTTTAGTATGTGATCACACAGGATATTAATGTTATTATGGAGTGCGTGTTATCAATATTTAAAGTTTTATGATGTATGCTCAGTAGCCCGTTAATTGTCATTAATATGTTTAGAATATTCTTTTTTTTTTAATCTTCTGTGAAGCGGTTTTTTTCAAACATGGAAGCTACAGTACAGGAATAAAATGCCAAGAAAAAGACAACAATAAGATAACAGTAGTAAGATCTTCCTCTTTAATCCATTAAAGGCAAGGATAGCCCTTTTGCCTATAAATTAACTGAGAGCTGGTTTTAAATGCCTGTGTTGCAAAAACTAATGCTCTTTTTTAGGTCTGCAGTGTGTAAGGGAATCCAACAAGTAAAATAATGTTCTGAGGTTTAAATCTTTAGCCTTCTCTCCAGCGTCCTTTTGACTACTGACACCCTTTATTGGAATCTTAGCTGCTAACACAAATAAAAAATGAAACTTTTGTCCCATTATTATCAGAGATGTGATGGTCTGCTGCATTTTTAGAATTATGTATTTCTGGTGCCTTTTCCACTAACTTTTGACAAGAAATCCTTTTTTCTTTCCATTTTTTATAACATAATTAGCTTTCATTTTTGAGCTGTACAGGGAATTTCTAATGCTAATCTTTCTGTCCTAGACCTCTTAACTTCTTTAAACCTTTTTTTTACGAGTTGAACTCTTCTGGGGTTAAAATTGTTCTTGCCTACCTCATTATCAGCATTTGGTTTTTTTCCACTTACAGTATAAATCTCTATTAAAACCCTTCTGCATTTTGAATGGACAAAAATGTAGATCCACTATCTGGAAGATTTTAAATGTTTTCCCAACATGGCAATTAATTACATCCCAGGGCACAATGCTATATTTTTAAAATATCATTCGCCAGCAGTGGTTTATATCATTGCCAAAGACTGTTCCAAGGATGTCTCAAAAATCAACTATTATAAGGAGAATCCTCTTCCAACTTTATTTTTCTCATATTTGGAACAGCCATCAAGGCACAAGTACAATAAAAGTGTATAAAAAACTATATCCCTTTTCACATAACACCTACTGCATATTATTTATTAAAGATAATTTAATTCATGTACAGGTTTGTTTTTAGCAAGTTTTTTTTATAACAAGAGGGAGGGATGTGAGCATTTTAGTCTTAGATTCATGTGTTATTTGAAGATCTTCTGTTTTTTCTCATCATTGAAAAGATTTGAATGTGTGTAAATCCTTGCACAAATGGAATGAAGGCTTTCATAGAATAGTAAGTGATTTTTCTTGTTCATAGTGAGTCATTGTATCATTGAGAAGACTGGAGTTGTGGGAAGCTAAAACACTTCCCCAGTATTCAATAATTAGAGATCAACTGCAGCCTAGATACTAGAACTGAAGTGCATTGTGGGAATAAGCAATTCAGATATGAGGATTTGTATTTCAGATAACAATATAATTGCAGGAGACTAACCCAATTCATTTATGAATAAGCTCGTAATTAATTTGATAGTGATTAAAGAAAAAATATAATAAAATATTTCTTTTCTATTGCATATTCTATTAAAGAATTACTCATGGAGAGCAGGATGAGCTCTGTGGTCTAGAGTTGGACCACTTGGCAAATCATGTGGTACTAGTGTTACATCACTATTGTACCAGTGCTATGACAATGAGTGATGGATTCATTCAAATTGCTGCTTCACTGAAAATTGTTTGGCAGCTGTTAAGGCAGTACATTGTATTTGGTATTTTTGCTTCTGTTTTTATGGTGGCAAGTTATTTTTCTTTTAATAAAACTTGTGCTTGTATAAATTGCAGAAAGTGTAATTTTTGAACTTGTTTGATGAGTGGATTATCTTACTTAACCTGTCACAAAAAGATTATATTTAGCATTTAGTATGTTAAGACCTTGACTATAAGGGTTTACTCCTGGAACCATGAAAGATCCACATTTGTACCATACTGAGGATTTCTGAAGAACCATTAGGTACCTTGTATAAAATGCTCAGTATGCTATATTTTTCACCTAATGAGGGATTCATTTAGAGTTGTGCTCCCTCATAGTGTTCAAACCAAAGTGAATACTTTTTTATGTATCCATTCCACCAGAATACCTTAATCAGATCTTAAGGACCAAAATCCTTTGAGCAATAATAGATTTCGAACTTGCATTTGTAGTTCAATATGACATAATGAAAATTTGAAAAGGAAAAAGAGTACAGCCAGACTTTCATTTTGAACCTGTAAACATGTAGAGTGGGTTATTTTTATCTTTGAATCTGAGTTTGTGTTTTGGGAAAATTGTTCACATGCGAACAATATTCTATTTAGCACATTGAGCTAAATAAGGTGATATATTTTTAAACTACAACAATGCAGTGCATTTTTTCCATTATTAGGTATTTTCAGCATACTTAAAATGTGTAGTTAAGACATAATCAGATTTTTGAGAAGACTCAGAAAAGAAATCAGGTTCTGTAAACAACATCATTACTTTGAAAATGTAGGTGAATACTCAGGAGAGATACTGTAGCTGCTTTTCTACTGCACTTGTGTGCTCTTCAGTAATCAATTGCATATAGAGTACCCGCCCAAGTGGATAGTGCTTGGCTTTGTATCTTTTTCATTTTAATTTAGACTACTGATTATGGAAAAATATTAAAAAGATTGTGTTCTTTCAAGAGACGTTAGTCCAGTACAGATAACTGGTTGCAGGCGTCGAGAAATTTGGGTGACCTGTACCATAATGCTTTGAATCATCCTGTATTAGAAGATCGAAGTATCAAGTGGTTTTAGATAAACTTCTTCTGTCCTTCCATTAAACAAAGCCTTAAGGTGATGCAGTCAAAGTGACAGGACCGCATGTCGATGTATTCCCGGTAAAATGAAACTAGCCTTCTGGGGATATGCTTTCAGACTCAGAGTTGCTGTTAAACACTGTGCTGTAAGTGTCCTTCGAAGTCAAGCGTCAGAAATTGTCATTTCTGCTGCATTAGAACTTTCACATATTACCAAGGGCAATTTCACTTAAAAGGGACCCTTTATTTAATATTTAATCACATTGAGAAATATTATAAGCTCCATTTAGTGAGCCTGACCTCAGCTTGCATTTCTCTAATGGCTGTCTCTCTTCTGTTTCTCCCTTCTCGGTTCTTGAACAGAAAGTGACAGGGCAGCAACAAGAAATAAACAACCTTCTTCAGAGAAAGATAGCTGTGGATGAAGAGAAAGGCTTAATGAAGAAAGATCTGACTGCTTTGCGACAGAAATTGGAGGATAAAAGTCAAGAACATAAGGTCTGTACATATTTCCAGTACCATGGCTTTGAAGCAGTGCTTGAAGCTGTATCTGCCTTTGTGACACAGAAAATGACAAGTCCCACAGGAAGATTGCCTAAGGCCTCAAAATCACTTTAAAAAACCTTGTGGTTTCTCTTCTGCACACCAAACCCGGCAAAAAGCTGCTTAAAAGCTGAGAATCTAAGCCTGATAACTTCCAGATAAATAGTTAATGATGGAAATGGAGCAAAGAAAGTAGGCATGTGATGATGTGGCTTCTCCTAATTAGATTCTGATGGGACTCACATTATTAATTGATAAAGGCGAGGTCTGGGAGGATGTGTCTTTGTGGGTCTCAAAAATAGCTGGGGACAGCATCAAAGGATGCTTGATCAATTAATGGGCTTGTAGTAAATGTGTTCTCATTAGAGCTGTCATTAAAGTGAAAATATGGCCCTTCTACCTGCATGAGAGAAGACCAATGAAAGCATCCAGGTGACCTTGCCAATCAGATATGTAAGGAGCTGCTGTGTAGGTAAAGCTGCACAGTTCTGAGTATACATATTTATATTAACCTTCCTGCCTTTTTTTTGTTTATTTGGCCCTTGTGACTCTCTCCTACAGGATTTTAAGGAGAGAGCGAAAAAGAAGGAGGAGGAGCAGCGGCGTGTTGTGAGGAATCTGGAGGAGGGAAAGGAAGGATTAAACACACGCTGCTCTGACCTGCTAAGTGACCTGGAGAAACTGCAGAAGCAGGCGGCCCAGTGGAAACAGGAGAAGTCTGGCATCGACTCCAAAGTCAAGGTAACACAGAGGCGAAGCACAGGGAGGGGGTGCTTGGGTGGATGTGTGCAAATGAAGGGACTCCCTGGGCAGACGAGAGGAAGGGTTCCCTTTATTCTGTGTGCCTCAGACTTCATTTTACCATCATACATGTAAAATAAGTTGTCCTGCGACTTGGCGTTTTTAAAAATTGATACTCTTTGCAGAAGGTGGGAGAAATAATGACTTTTCATGTCTTAACACCTGAGTCTTAAGGGTTTCTTTAATATGATCTGGACTTTTGCTTTAATTCCTTATCTAATTAATACATTCCCTGTTATGCATCTTTCACTGATCTCTATTGTTGTTTCTGCTTTGATCTTTTAACTCTCCAGTGATCTAACTTTTGCAAGTGTAAATAACCTTTCTTCAGCCTAGTTATCTCCTCCTGGAAGAAACTTACAAGTGTAAAAGTAATAAGTGGCACTAGGTTCTGCCTATAGCTACTCCCTCACCATTGAATCCTTTATAGGTGATGTAAGACTGGAATGAAACCCATGCAGTATATTGTCTTAAAATAACAGACTTGCCTGACTTGTCATATCTTTCATATTTATTTTCACTTAATTAAAAAAACACTGTAATGATTAAGTCCATTTTGTTTAAACAACCAGGGGAGAACAAAAAACAGCGCACCAGGTACACATTGAATCAAAGTTTTTTAAGATGTGGTTTATTGGAGTTCATACCAAACAGTTTCTGGTCACTAAAGCAGAACTTGTTTACTAAAGCCATTCAGATTTGAAGATACAGTATGAACGCACTACATACAGACAATACAATAAAATTTGTATCAGAAGGCATAGGGCACTGCATTTATCAATGCAAATAATGAAACAAACATGTATAATTAATGCTTTAACCAATCAACGGGGATCGTAGCCTTGTAAGGTGAGTAACAGTGTGCAGTGATGTAACCCTCCTGTAACAGAGAATGTTCCTGTGGTGAGAGTAGGTCTGAGGAGAGTTGGGTTCATTGTAGACTAGGTGGATGCCTGAGACACGAGGACTGAATCCCTGCTGGGGCAACATCTCACAATCTTGGCAAGAGTGGAGACAGGATGGCAGCAATTCAGTTTTTCAAATGTAAGAGTTTTGGACATCTACTTACACAGCATGGCATTGCTCCATGTAGTATGTGACCAGAAGGCTGAACACAGACCGCTCTGCTGTTTTATGTACCCTTACCCTCCTCTAAAACCCGTCCACCTTGTTGGAACATGAGCCATCCTGGTCTTTGCCATAGGAGGTAACAAGACTAACATCATACCCTGACTCAAAAAAGCAGCCCTGGGAGCTAATTTAATAAAGGTACTCCCAAGAGTGTTTGAATTATTTTGTAATGATTCTTTTTTAATCAAACCCTACACGATTAAACCACTCTTTGATTCTGAGATAGTGCCTTTGTGAAGACCATCATTAGCTGTGGCTGTACTAGCTGTAGCACATTCACAGATAACATTTCTATCATGTATTTCTTCCAGTTAGGCTTTTTTGTCAGTAGTAAATGCTGCAAAAAGGGAATTCTTTGCTTTTTCTAATGACAGCCTGCTTTCTGAATACTGTGGTGGCTGATACGTAAAATTCACCAATGGATATTTACTATCCTTTCCTTGATTGAAATAGTGTGATGCAGTTTATTTTTGTGTTTCCAAAAACTACTACCAGACCAGGTTCATACTGCCAGAATGATTACCTCACATTACATAGCTTTAGTCCATTCCTGTTTATCTTTCCTTCCTTGCCATGGCACTAACAGAAAACATTTGTGTCTACAATATTATCTAAAGTACGATTTACCACATGTGACTACTTGAGAGGGTGACAGTCTAAGACATTTCACGGGATTATGAGTTTTGCCTGCCGCCACGCTTTGGGCTTGGGCTATGTATAGTACTCAAGCTTCCTAACCTTAATTTTGCAGCTGATAACTGTATCAGTTGACACATTGTAGACAGAGCAATGAATATGTCTTGTGAGCTAAAAATGTTTGCGATTCAAACATCAAAGAGACAAATGTAATATAAGATGCATGCACTGTCTGTAGCATTACAATAACTGGACCATGGTGATTTACTTAGAGTAAGTAGGTACATTTCTCTGCCTCACCATCCGACAAAGCACTACTTTAGCTTAGAGCTGTACAGTATGTCATTCATTAATACCCGTCCACTGCTGTTTCATAAATACACAACATTACAGTAGATAAGAAAGAAAAATAGAAGCCTGTATGTGAAAGTAATCAGTATTTTCACATCATCTTTTGAAGTACAGTACTGCTCTTCAGTTTCCAGAAGTCAGAACCATATTTTCTTGCTCTTTCAGCCAAATTAACTTGACCGATGCCAAGCATTTTCTTAGGGCTTCAAGCTCAGTACCACTGGTTGAATTATGCATGAACTTCTGTTTTTAAGAATTTGAACGGAGCAATGTCCTCCCACTTACACAGATACAGATATTGCAAGATATGTTCTTTTTCATGGTACATCATGAGGTCTGTAGTTCTCTTTTCAACTGGGGGTGAAATAGGGAGGGCTGGGCTGCCTGTTATAAAGAAAAAGCCTTCTTCTCGTACCTGGCATGTAAAAATATTACGTGCTGTATTACAGTATGTCCAAACAAGAGACCATGTAGGGTTGTTTTTCATGGCCCCACATTGCTTAAAGAAGTCTCCTGTATTTTAACAATCTTTATGCAGAGTGCATTCATAGTTTTAAAACACAGGGTATTCACTGATGAAAGTTTACTTTGAGCCACAGGTACTCTAACCTCAGCAAATGGGTAATTACTGTTTGATCATAATTATTTCAATGTTGATTCAAAGTGTTATTAATTAAAGTTGTCCATTGGAGAGTTTTTCTTTTATTTTTGCCTTGTGCTCTTTGCTGGCAGTCTGTGGGTCTTTCCCCATAAGTTTAATTGTTTAACTTCATAATTATGGCTGCTCCTGTGATTTGAAGATGACCCACAAGAATCTACACTCAAGCTGAAGGCGATGCGCACCTTGAGAATCCTTTCACTACCGGGACTTAATCTTTTTTGCTCTCCACCTAGCATAGAAATATTTAAATTATAGAAGTACAGTGGGATAGTGTGTTACATGTGGTTTGGTTTGTACAAACTGAGGATTAATTGAGAGGTGTTATTATGATCGCTGAAGATGGAAGTGCTTTTCCAAAAGGAGAAATGTTAGACTCGATTCATTTCAAAAGCAGCAAATGACTCTCTCCAAGTCCTTCATCTAAACTGTAATAATGAAGAAATAATTTGTTGGAAAATGTACAAAATTAAACACATTCAGCACTTTAATTAAAAATGGTATTGTGTCTTTTGATGATGTAGTTTGCTTCCCTAAAGGATGTTTTGCTGTTGATGTCCATATGGCTTTTGTTCAGATACTGTAGGTAATACAGGTTTTGGTAGAGCAAAGTCGCTTATAACTGCTTTCTTCCTTTCAATGGTCTGTTTCTACAGTACATTTGTACAAATTCTTTTTCCTCTTATGGGATTTAAGTGTCTTGAGTTTTGAATGTATGCCCTCAGAATTTAAAGTTTATTATTTTGTTTAAGCTGATTTAGACACAATGGCAGTGGTTAGCACTGCATCATATTAAAGTACTCTCTTTGCATTTATGAAGAAAATATACAACACAGATAGTCTCCTATTTATTTTGTTCTATTTATTTTCATTTTCAGGTGTTAGAAGATGACGTTAAAGAATACAGAAAGCAGGTTGAAGAGATGCACAACAAGTGCAACGATCTGGCTGCTCAGCTTTCATTCAAAGAAACTGAACTGGTACAAAAAGAAGCAGATGTGACCAGACTCAGGCAAGTGAGATTGTAGCTTATGTACAGCGTGATTTTCTTATGTATGGCTTTACTGGACAATGTATACATTTATTTTTATAGTTTCATTTTCATAAGAGGCAATCTGCATCTAATTTTAAGAGGTGCTACATTTTTGTTTTTTTTTCTCTCTTACACAAAAATGTAAATGTTCTAGGCTTTTATTGGAGTTAGAGTAGTTAACCAAGCTGAAATGATAAACAAATTTGTGACACATTGTTTCAAACCAGCGTTGGTTTTCTTAGTTTATCTGAAATCATCTTAATGGAAGTTTATGTTAACAATTCAGGCATAGTAGGATGGAAACTTTACCTCTTTCTGTTTATGTGGTCTGTGATTGGCTGCGATTCTGACAGATAATTATTTTCAGATTTCCTATTTCATCTTTTCCTTCCTAAATTTCGAGGCAGTATATAGCCACATGCGCTGGAATAATGTGACTCCTCTAATTTTTAAGAATTCTCTTGATTTAAAAAAGACATGGAACACAGAAAGCACAAGGAACAGAGAATGGCCTCAACCTTAACTGATGAAGGTGGAAAAGCAGTTTTGTAACTGTTACTATTTATTCTGTATGTTACTTATCACAACATAAATGTTGTTTTTCATTGTTTTAAGTAAGGGGCACCTTCATTTACTATCTATAGCACTAAGATGCTTGAAGCAGAGTTTTAAAATGAACATAACAAATGCGATTTTCCGTGAAGAAAATAATTAGCAAAACATAGGTGTCTTTGAACTATTCTGTATACACTTTAAAAGTAACTGAACAAACTTTATCCTGAATTAAATCACTTCTTCCACACAAACATTGCAAGCCCAGTATGCTTCTTAAGAGAAATTATTGTTTGTATACAATTTTGAAAAAGCTACCTGCTGAGATTGTTTCATTAAAACCTCTACATTTGTGTATAAGAAAAAGTCAGTTTTTGTTCTAGTAATAGACTGCACTACATAGTGGATGCCTGAGATCTTAATTCACTCAGATTTTTGTTTTAGTTATATAGCATCTGATTCCGATTTTGTGTGGAGAAGAAAATACCCTTAATTCTGTAAAATGATACGATATAGGTTGTATGGAAGAGAGCACTTTGCGTAACTGATTTTCTTTTCTTGGTCAATGCCTTCATAATACTCTCCTTGATGTTTATTTTTTTAGAGTTTAAGGTTTAGTGTTTATAAAAGTTTAAAAATATTTATCACATATAATGGATGACTTCCTATAGTTATATTCTTGTCTTTTCTTAGCCCTTGAGGATACATTAATCAAACCTTATTTGATTTTATTATAGTGCCTTTTGCTGATCTTGTAAGGTTTAAATTACAAGTAAATTAATATTTTTTTAAAAAGAGTAGTGAACATAAATTTCAGTATTCATATTCATTCATATTCATCCAGCAGCTGTATCAGCCTGCAGCTCTCAACTGGCTACCCTACTGAAGCTAAGCAGGGTTGAGACTGGTCTGTACCTGGATAAGAGACCTCTTGGGAAGCTATGGTTGCTTCTGGTAGGGGTGTTAGTGGGATCAGTGGGGGGCACCCACCCTGTGGTCTGTGTGGGTTGTATAGCGCCCTCTTTTGAATGAGATGTTAAACCGAGGTCCTGACTCTCAGCGGTCCTGAAAGATCCCTGGGCATTTCTCGATAAGAGTAGGGAGTTATCCTGGTGTCTGGGCCAAATTCCCCCCCTTCAGCCTTTACCGTGGCCTCCACATTGTCCCCATGTATGATTGGCTTGCACTTGCCCTGCGATGGACTGGCACCCTGTCCAGGGTGTACCCTGTCTTGCGCTCTTTGCTCACCGTGTAGGCACTGGCTTCCCGCGACACCGTATGGTATAAAGCAGTTTGGTAAATTAATGACATATTCATTGTTATACTATAGCAACTTTGCATTCTCCACTTTTCAGTAAATTGAAAATGTACAGTAAGTACCCATTAAATTAAAAATGTATGACTCTGCTCCGAAAAGAAAAAGGCATGTCATCCATTTTCTACTTTTCAACATATCACATAGCTGCAGCTGTCTTCGTAATATACTGTACATGTTCTGTTTCTTTTCATTGTCCACATCCGCCACATGGCTTTTCGAATGTCTTCAGTCCAATGCACATACTTTTAAAATGACAGCCTCCGTTTTGCTTTTTAGGTGCAGTCATTTCGACATCACTACTCAGAGCTGTTAGAGAGATGCCCTTCTTTAAACCTCAATATAATGGCAGCGTGTGTAGCTGGTATGGGTCCAACATCAGATTGGCAGGAGCCTTGAAGCCACTGCCATGCATTGACTGGAATCTGACGCCTTGAAAGTCAATGCAATAAAACTTTAACATGCAGTACCGCTTAAATGTTTCAAATCACATCCTGAACTGAAGAGAATAATTAGAGCCATTGCTTAAATGATTGCAGCAACACTTGGCAAAATGTATAATAGTAATTTTTTTAACATTTCTCTGTTCTCTATAAAAATGTCATCAGTAGCAATAAAAGTGTCATAGAGACATCATGCATGCAAAACATATGTACTTATAATTCTTCAGGCATACTTTTGATCCTTTTTTGAATTATGTATGGCTTATAACTCAGGAGGGCACTATGTTAAGCAAAATAGGCAGTGAATTAATTGATTTATAATCTTATTGAATGCCATTAATCTTTTAAAGTTTTAGTAAATTGACTGAGTAGTTTAATTGTGGTTTTAGTCTAACAGGGCAGCGTAAGTTTGTAAAGGCCTAGGTGAAAGCTTTAACATGTTCCAATTTGAGTTTCTCTGGCGACATGTAAATCTTCTCTGTGATAAAGCCATTGGATAAGCCCTGCATACTTGATGTGCTTTGGAGAATAAAAAGGGTACCACACAGGATTTGGCAAAGAGCAGTGAGCTTTAGTCAATATAATAAAAATGTACAGAGATTGAGAGCCTTAGCTTTAATCAAACTGTTGCTTATACTGGTACTTAGCATAGCCGTTTGAATAAGATGTCACTCACATCTTCTGTAAGGGTTTTCTGAAAGCTTAATTGAAATACTTGTAAATGCCACTTTTGTTCAAAGAATAAGTTGTTTCAAGTTCAGTTTTTTTCTTCTATGTTTTAAAAAGATTGTTTCCAAATCATGATCTGGGCACCCTTCAGCTTTGTCAGACATACTCCAGGGTTTCCTAGAAAAGGCTGACTGTAAATCAGTTTTAGTTTTGTGAATGGAAATATGTTGAATGGATTATTTAGTCCTTGCTTTATAATTAGCATTACAATTTGCTTTTATTTCAGCTTACTCTTGGGGGTGTGGGGGACTGTCTTGTGGAAACGTATAACCTGAAAGGGATCCTTCAGCTAAGAAATTTAGGTGTAGAGAAGGGTGATCTAAAATTCTTAATTTTCATCTGGGAGGATTTTTAATGAAAAAGAAGTAAAACGCAAATAAAGATAAAGGTGCATTAGAAATATTCAAAATCACTCTGCATGGTGTCTTGTATCTGCCTTTGTTTTCTTTAAAAAATGCTTTTATTTTATTCTGGAAGAGTTTGTAAGCATACAGTATAAACATTGAGACTGCTGTTGGAATAGAGAGCTGACATATCTGATTGGAAAATGTATTCACTTTCTGTGTTACGCCTTTTCAGTTCTATAAATCCTTATGTAACCAAAGTTTTATGCGAAATGGAAGTTGTAAGTGACCTGTTTTTTTAGCCATTGCCTAAACACATATAGAGAATTTCCATTTATAATATGTTGGAGTTCCTCCTTGTTTTCCCTTGCTCCCTCACTTGGCAAGCAAGTAAAAAGGAGCAGAAGAGCAGAATCACGGGCTCACCAGGGTCTGTTGTCCTGTAATGGTAAGAGGTATGTGTGTGCTGATCATGGAGAGAGGTACAGAGCAGGTGAGAGAATATAGCTGCAGCTAGTTATTCAGGCGTTAGACAGAAAGGAAACTTTACCTGTTTACATACAGGGAGAGAAATGAAATGAAGCAGTTAAAAAGTTTTAAAATCCAATAATTAAAATAATTAAATACCGAACATAGCTTACATTTACAGAATACACTATAATATTTACACTACAGTAAATAAATTAAATACTGGAGAAAGAGAATTATCTTTTATATACTGTACAATTCATTGCCGTGCACTGTACTTTTCAGTAATTCAGCATAAAATGAAATACACAGTTCATAATAAAATTAGTTGGGGGCTCCCCTGCCATGATTGCAATGTTACTCAGACTTTTTAGTGAAAATGCGCCTGATGATACACAGAGGATGTCACAAGAGTGCAAAAACAAAGTGAAACTGATCGTAATATGGAGTCATGGTTGACTGCATTATGTGTACTCTGTGCTTATAAACCTTTAAAGGGATTTGCCACTTGACTTGCTCTTTACCCATCTAACGTAAACTTTCTGCAACTGGAAAATCGGATTATTATGGGATCCATGGGGGGTTTGTCAAATTTAGGTAAATCTGGGTTTTTGTGACCCAGGGAAAAGGTGTAAATGAAAATGCAGTAGGAGTTCATTATTGAATCCTTGAGGTCGTTGTTCTACTCTCCTTGCAGGAAGGAGCTGCAGGAGCTTCAGAACCTCTATAAACAGAGTACCGAGCATGCGGCCCAGCAAGCAGAGATCATCCAGCAGCTCGAGGGCCTCAATCTGGACACGCAGAAGGTGCTGCGCAACCAGGAAGATGCGCACACCACCGAAACTATATCCTGCCAAAGGGTAATTGTTCCTGAAATTCTGTTTTTGCATTTCAGAGGCAGATTAGAATAGCTGCTTGCTCCTTTGTCAGCACCATCTCAAGTCTTCGAAGTAGGCTTCCCATGTCTTTATTTCCGTGTGATTTTAGCATCTAGTGTACTGTAAATCTCCTTGGAAAGAAAAAACTGCAGATACTGTATGTGCGTTTTACCTGCTTGGCCATTTCTCAGGTTTGTGAGTAAATCTGTTTTGGTTCTTGCAGCTGTACAATGATCTGAGCATGCGGTATGAAGCCTTAAAAACCAGCGAGATGCAGCTGCGTCAAAGCCACATTGCCTTGACAGCACAGTTGCACCAAAAGGAGCAACATATCAGCCATTTACAAGCCAGGTTGCAGCAAGCTTTGGTCACGGCTCATCATCAGGCAAAGCAGACAAATGCCAAGCATCTGGAGGTAATGTTTCTGAACTAAGCAACACGTGTATTTTTCATTACGGCCACACACCGCTTATAGAATGCAAAATCGCACATTGGTTCAATAGCTCATGAGATTCTTAGTGACCAGGTTTAACAGGTAAGAATTTGTACTTTCTCAGAGTTTTGCCCCAATATTCAAGGTAGCAGATGTCCTTCTGTGTTGATTTTTTCTGGTTTTGTTGAATTGATAGACTGCGGAGGACAGTTTTGGACCTAAAGGGGCATGACAGAGTCAGAGATTTGCTGAATATGGTTAGAAGATCATGCTCTTTAACACTGAATGTTACTGTTAAAGGAACACTTTGGAATGTTCCAGTCATCTAGAGGTAAAACCATGTGGTGTCAAAGGTACTCTTGATGATTATAAAATTATAACATTTTACAATGTATGCATTATAATAGTTGTAATTTCCCACACTATGTTATACTGAGTCACAAAATAATTCTCTAGTACAGTACATAAGTACATACAGTATGTGGGTTTGGGGTTATCCAGAACCTTTTTATTGAAATACGTTCTTGCTGCACCCTTCAGAAATGTGACTGGAATGAAGGGAGCTAGGAATGAGGGAGAAGAACATTTTTGATCAGATAAACCTCAGAGTCTATACAGTATGAAACCAGAAGCTCCTGTCCCTGCTGTGTGCACGTGATTCCAATCTGGTGCTGTCTCATTCACCTGCTCATTCAGTGGCTAATGGTCTGTTTCAAAGGAGGATAAACTAAACCAGAAGTGCTCTTATTTTGCAGAATTTTATTTTCTAGAAATAGTAATTATTTGATCATAGAGATGAAGAAATAGCAGCAAGTTTTTTAAAAACTTTCAGAGTAATTTTTGTTATTGAGTCTTTCACAGAAGAGTTTCAAGTAACTGAGTTGTAAATTTGGTTGTGTTATATTAAATGGACTAGACCATTTTTATTAGGAATATCAAAGGCAGAACACTTGAGTGCAAAACAGAAGCTGCAGTTATTCTAAAATTGATTTGTATTTTAGTTTTTGCTTGGATCCATTCTATTGGTGCTGTTCATTTTTAGTATTTGTATTGTTGAAAGGAAATGTAGAATTTGATACATTTTTTCATTTTGCTGATAAATTAGTACAGCAGTCAAATTCCTATTTAGTTGTGGTCTTAAATTGCTCATTTAAGCAATTGATTTTTCCTATGCTCAAACTGTATAGAAATACTCAGTTTTGAATACAAAACTGTAATATTTATTTGAATAAGCCAGAATCCCATCAATTTATATATTTATAGCTTAATTGTATTCATTTGGATAGGCTGTTGGTGTTACCAAAAAGAGTTATTAAAAATGCAAAACGTCTTGTTAAGACAACATCATGTTTGTATGCATTTCCTTAGTGCCAACTTCTGCTTGCCCCTTTTGTAGTAGTCCCAGATAATCTAGAATTACTGTAATCATTCAATTATTTAAGGGTAAGCTTCCTTCATGATATCTCTTGTCAAAAATCAAAAAGAATAAGAGGTCCTGCTATATGCATCTATACAAAATAAATAATAACTGAAACACTTTTTGTTCTATGTTATTATAATGCACTACAGCCGTTTCCCTTTTCTCTTGCGAGAGTGGTTGAATATGTTTGCAGGATGTATCTGAAACTGTAACAGACTTTAAAGAGTACCAGGTGGATAGATGCTTGAGAAGCAAGAGAATAAATCTGAACATGTAAGTAGTTTTTTCATTTCTATCCCAATTATAGCTCTGTAGGATTCAATAAAAATTCACTTCAGGTAATAAAGTGGTAAAAAAAATGTATGCCAGTTATATGGAGAGATAAATTCAGCTTTTCAGTATGAAAGAGGCTTACATGTGTAATTGGTAGGGAGAAATAAACTTTACAGAAGTTATGTGAATTCTCTTTGTACTGCATCTTCAAATAAAGCCTGTTTGCAACTGAAACCCATATTCCCTGAAACCCAATGGTAAAAGTGCCAGAACCTAAGAAACAGACGTATTTTAGAGAACCATTGACAGAATGTCAGTCATAAATGCGGGGCAATTATGTATTTATTAATTTTCCACACTATGTAACACTGAGTCACAAAATAATTATGTACTGTAGTACATGGAACTACTTGATATGTAAAAAAGTCTTAATCTGTTTTGAATAATGTGATGTGTGTCATTCTGTACTTCTTAAATGCAAGCATTCAGAATCGCAGCCTTTATCAAGTTTAAATGCAGGAGGGACTTTAACAAATGTCCAGAATAAAAAAAACACAATAACTGCAAACTCAACATGGTCCTAAACTGAGTATTTTATTTAAAGAGAAAAAAACAATTTAACTATAAGAGCAATTAAATTATAAGGTGTTTGTCAGATCAAGTGTAAAAAACAGAATAAGTGCCCTGTAAAAAAGTTCATATTTGATTGACACAAAGCATCCTACTGTATAAAGTTAAAGAGAAAACTAATTCTACAGATAACCCTTATTAAATTGTAATTATAAAACAGAAAATAACAGCATAAGTATTCACCCTCTTTTCTATGACATTCCAGAATGGTCTCTGGTGCAATCAATTGTGTTTAGAAGAAATTAGTTGTAGTACACATGTGTATGGTTAAGGTGTTTCACATGAGTTCAGGTTAAATACACCTTTCACAGGGAGGTTCCAAAGTTGATAACTACAGCAACCAACAAAAACTACATCAGGAAGACAAAAGAACATTCAAAGAAAATCTGGGATAGAGTTCTTGAAAAACACAAATCAGGGGAAGGGTATAAGCAAATTGTAGAAAAACGCATGTGAAACACATTAAATATTCCCTTGACAAATATCTCATATCAGCATAATCAATCCATTGAAAACAGGGCACTAGAAAGTTGACATTATGAACTTTCAACAAAATAATTACATACAGTAGCAGTGTTGTAATCACAGATATTTACTTTGGGTATTTCCAATAGGTATACAGTAGATTGTCTGTACGTCTTTCAGAGGTTATTAACTTGGGGATAAAATGTAATCCTTGTTTCTTTAAGTATAATATCCATTGTAATTGTAAGTTGCCACAAGGCATGGGGATGCTGAAGGATGGATCTTCTCCTTGAGAATCATTTGTATCTGAATGACTGCAGCTGTAGGAAGCATGTAAGCTGATGAGCTACAGCTGTGGGCGGACTTATAAGTGCAGACTGGATCTTACCCTGTGAGCAGAGCTGACAAATCAGGCTGTCAGTTCTGAACTTGCTTCCCAAGAAAGCATGGAGTGCAGCGTGTAGTTTAGCCAGCACCTTTGGGGCTAGGCAGAAGACCTGGCTGAGCCGGAGAGACTGAGGTGCAGACTTATGTGTGTTTTTGTAGGCTTAGTTTATGCAGAGGTGTGGCCGTGAGAGTGACCTTGAACTTGAAGTTTATTGCCATATGTAACTGGTACATGTACTGGTACAATGGAATTCTTACTTACAGAAAGTCTCTCGATTGTTCAAACAAGTGTAAAAACACAAAGTGCAGACAGTGCATCAAGACAATATACAAACAAACAGTAGACAATGTACAAGTAAACAGTTTAAATGTAAACAATGCAGATGTGTAAACAATGACTGGAGATGTGCAATAAATAAATCATAATGAGGTAGAAGGTGTAGGTGTGGTCCGAGGGGCATGGCTAAATGTGTTCGCCAATCTCACTGCCTGTGGATAGAAGCTATTGAAGAATCTAGTGGTCAGTGTCCATATGCTCTTGTATCTCTTGCCTGAGGGCAGTGGGGTGAAAAGCTCATGCCCGGGGTGTTGACTGTCCTCTGTGATGGCCAGAATTCTACCACGGCAGCCGTCCACATAGAGCTGTTTAATCTTGGTGAGACCACAGCCGATGATCTTCTGGGCCATATTGACCATTCTTTGCAGTTCCTTTCTTTCTCATGACCTGCCTGAAGCACAGAGAGAAAGCGGGACTCTGTTGCTCTATGTGTGACAGCGGTTCTTAAGACATTATCAGTCTGATGTCAATGTACAGGTCTCACGGTGTGCTTATGCAGCTGGCGATTGGTGGCTCTAGTAGCTGTTGGCATTTGTGTAGTTGTCTTATATTGTAACTGAGCTGGTCGGTGTTGTGTGAGAGCATAAGGCTGGCGTCTGCGTGTGTGATTGTTGTGAAACAGGAAACCAGCAAGAGAAACAGAGAGGAAGACCTCCCCCTAGAAGGAGAGTGACTAAGATCAAGCGACCCGGAGGGGATTCGTCTGCGAAAAGTTAATAACAGGCTGTTCTGGAGGCATGCCAAAGGAACAGTGCTATTGAGCTGCAGGGCTGCTGACCTGTCTGTTGTGCCTGATAGAAAGGAAGTTTGTTAGTGAGTTAAAGTAATTCTGTATGGGCGAGCTAAAGTAACATGTTTGAGTAAAAGTATTAGTGAGTAGTGAGTGAAATCCAGAGAGCAGGGGTGTGGCCAGGAAGACCCTCACTCAACACGGGAAGTCCAGAGTGATGGAATGATCTGACTAGCAGCTGGCCTCCGGCAATGTGTGAGAACCAGAGAGAAGTGGTGTGGTGTAGAGGCCCTGATCCTGCACCTCAAGTGCAGGATATTGAAAGGGCAGTGTCTAGCTGCTGGCTTCTGGTGGTAGGCATGTAGTGGAGACACCATGAGGATCAAAAGCAGTGGTAACTTGGCATGAGTGAGCCACACTGACAGCTGTAATGGACCAGGGTCTAAGGATAAGCCATCGGGGGATATTGCGAATGAAGGGCTCAGAGTACCTCAGTGACTTTAAAGCTGATGGAGAAAATGATCTGGAGGTTTTTTAGAGACAACCCTACTCTTGGAGGAGAGAGGGGAAAAAACAAGCAAAAAGTGTCCCCAATGACCAGTGACGGGCTTGTCAGTCACTGTAGGCACAACATGTGACCATGTGGTTATACTTTTCTATTGCTGTTTTCAATTGCAAATTAATTGTCACGCTACTTTATAAAATACTCTGTGCAACCATTTTCTGTTTCATTTTGGAAG